TGACATTTGTGATCGATGCAAAGAAAAAGAAAAAAAGTTGCAAAGAATAGCGACGGTGTGTGACTTTCCGGAAGTATTTCCTAAAGATCTTCCTAGACTACCCCATGATAGACAAGCAGAGTTCTGAATAGACTTGTTGCCAGGAACAACACTAATAGAAAAAGAACCATACCGATTAGCACCGGTGGCGATGAAGGGGCTCATCATGCAACTTCAGGAATTATTGGACAAATATTTCATTAGACATAGTTCGTCATCCTGGGGAGCTCCGGTGTTATTCGTGAAGAAGAATGATGAAAACATGAGAGTGTGCATTGATTACAGAGAGTTGAATAAAACAACCATGAAGAATAAGTGCCCACTGCCTAGGATTGATGATATGTTTGATCAAATGCAACTAAAAGCAAGAGAACAAGACATTGAGATGACAACTTTCAGAACAAAACTGAAAACTATAAAACGAAGTTACACACAATACAAAAGCACAACTTTAAAATATAGTAAATGACCGAAATTACAACTTATGTAATAGTAATAATTTAACTTTAAAATTATAAATGATAAAAACTTCTAGATCAAAATCTCTTAAAGGAAAAATGTTAATATGAAAATTTGCTATTGTTAGAGACAAAAAAGAGATGTATATTTGGAATTTTGTATTGTATGTTGCAAGGTTATCAAGATCAGGATCTTACATATGATTATTTTTAGGTTTGCAAGACAGAGATAGTAAGATCAGGATTGGGATCCTAAGATCCCACAAAAAATTACATAAAAAGGTAATTGATCATATATAATTTTTTTTTCGTTGATCATGGTTAAATAGCTAAAAAAAAGTAATTAGTGATGTAGTAGTTAATGACATGGTTAAATAACTAAAAAGAGTATTAATACTAATGATTTATCATACAGCAACAACTCACAACCTCCATGTTATTTGCTTCAACTATAATGAGAAAATCAATAACAATTTCAACTTTTGAGACTCAATTAAAAACCATAATTTCTCAAGCTCTCAAGGAAAAGACATGATCAATAAATGAAACGAAACTAGAGAAGGATAACTATTGAAGGAAGAAAGTAATAACAAGCGAAAGCCAAATCTTAAATTCTATCATATATGAGCGTAAAACGTTAAGCGGAAAAAAAATCTATGGATGTTGGTCATTTACGGTTTAAAAAATAATATAAGAATAAGGCTATTCTTAATTGTGCATTGGGTAAAGAGACAAAGTCAAATAGTAAATGAGAATATAATAAAAACTAGATCAAAATGTGGCAATTTTCATGGAATAGTAGGAACCGATCAAATCCCGATCCCGATCCTACAATACTGTTTTCAATCTTACATATAAAACAATCATATTGCGATCCAACAATGTTTTTATAGATAGGATCGTTGTAACTTACGATCCTAAAATCAAGATTCCGATATTAGCAACTTTAATATTTTGTAATAGTTGTAAATTAATAAGAATATAACAACTTTTGTTTCGGACAACCCATATATATATATATATATATATATATATATATATATATATATATATATATATATATATATATATATATATATATAATTTATTAATTCACTAGTGTTGAAGTTAACAAATATTTAACCCTTAAAACAAACATATCATATTAATGTTAGAAAAGTTAAATGTTACTTTATTTAAAAACCGGAAAATACCGTAAATAGTCAAAAAAAAAAAATGGGAGTATTTTCAAAAATAGACATAAAAATGGACTTTTCTGGATATAGACATGCATTCCGCGAAATCTACTGTAACTCCACGGAATGACAAAATCGTAAATAAATCAATGTATTAAAAAAAACACTAAAGATCCATTCCTCGGAGATAGCTCCGCGGAACGGATCTTTAGTGTTTTTTTTTGTTCACATTGATTCTTCGGGATTTATATTCATTTCCCAAACTAATTATTTTTAAGAAAAGATTATCATACTATTATAATCTTTACTTGAAAATAATTATTTGGGGAATTAATATAAACCCTGGAAAAAAAAAAAAAAAAACTTAAGATCTATTCTACAGAGATGACGTCATTTCACGGAGGGTCCTTCACGGAATGTATGTCTATAGCTGGAAAAATCAAATTTTATGATTAAATTTAGAAATTCATCCAATTTTTTTTTTATCTATTTGTAGTATTTTCCCTTTAAAAACGCGTGTTCTCTTAATCTAAATCTTTTATGTGATATGATAATTACCATATTACTATAATGCCCTCATTAATCAAGTACAACTCGTCCCAACTTAAATATTCGCTGGCATGTCAATTGATATCTTTACAGAATCCACCGTCGTTTTTCCAACTATTTCTTCCAGATCACTACACGTGTCGTACAAAATAAAGAAACTTAAAACACAAGCTGCACAAATATGCAAATAGAATCCTCAAGCAATTACTCTACAAATATTTTCAGTAATTGACTTATTCGATTTTAGCTAATAAAATACACAAAATAAAGATTTTCAATACACCAACCAAATACTATGTAAAAATTATTTTCAACCTTTAGCGGCTATAGTTGCTTGACAAAACTAGGTACTTCACTTAATTTATCGTGATGCGGAGTTATTGTTGCTTACACAACAGGTACATGGAGAAACTGTGGTCCCTAAATAGAAGGCTCCAGAATGGCGACAAGTGTCAACGTTCAGATCAAGACATGTGTTGGTGAGCTATATTACGCAACTTGTATTGTACATGAAAAAAGCCCATGTGAGGTGGAGCCCACTTGTTGTGACAGGTGGCGCTGTCTTCTGAAGTGTAACATAAAACAATATCTCGTTATGATGTTGATCCAAATTATCGTTTCGTGAGATGAAAATATCGCATAAAGAGTGGATATTACCTTGGGGAAAGGGTAGTCTATTGGTATTTCACATCGCGGGGTTCGTAATGAGTATGGTTGAACGTTGAATAGGAATACCATGCTTTTTTTGTGACCATTTTTTTAAAATGTATATTCCTAAAGAATTTGCTACAATAATGACTATATTAAAAATATATTTGGCCAATTAAAATAATGTTTGTTTATTGAAAGATAAAATATATGTTGGACTATATCCGTATTCATAGTAGATGAGAAGGAGTAATGCAATCTATAAATAATATTTTTAATTTTTGAAAGATAAAGAACAAATTATATGAATCTTGCCCATATAATATATGAATCTTGTCCATGACTAGGGCTGGCCTCTTGTTTATTTTGAAAGCCTAGTGAAAAGAGTAGAAAATGGGTCCCACGAATATATTTTAATATAAACAAAATTTATTAATACGATACTTGTTATACCAATAATCAAAAACAAAATAACAATAATACATAAATCATGAGGCTCTTATACTATGCTAAAGTTGTCTATAACAAACTTCAGAGAAAAAGTTGCCTACGCAAGTGGCGGGTTTATAATTTTTTTATCGACAAATATTATATATATATATATATATATATATATATATATATATATATATATATATATATATATATATATATATAGAGAGAGAGAGAGAGAGAGGTTCATCGACCAAACTTGCTTAGGGTAAGGGGGCTGTGGCTCCCCTGAATTTTTTGTTAGAAATAGCCCTTCCATTTTAGTTTATATACATATTTAGCCTAAATATATAAAATTTATATTGTGCCCCCTTTGCTCTCCGATTTTCATGTATATTATATTTTCGGTCCCCCCAAAATAAATGTCCAAACTCCGTCACTAAGTTCAAGTATTTTAACTAATTATTGTGCGGATATCGTATGTTATGAAAATGATAAAGAAAATATGTTGTTTGATAATATAAATACGTTTAATCTTACACATAATTATTATCATTAACACACATTCTCACTAATTAAATCATCTATACTATTCTAAAGTTGTCTATAACAAACTTTAGAGAAAAAGTTGCCAATGCAAGTGGCGGATTTATAATTTTTTTATCAACAAATATTATATATATATATATATATATATATATATATATATATATATATATATATATATATATATAGGGAGAGGATCAAATGAGAACACCTAAAAGGTTGAGAATGCGAGAACAGTTGTAGACCAATCATTTTTAAAGGGCATAAATGGAATTTTACCATCTAATTAAATTATAATTTCCTAAATTTTAGTGATTATGATGACAATTACCCAAAATATCTCATTTTTTAGATCCTATTCTTTTAATGAACCAATAATTAATAAAATAATGATTTAATTTTTATCTAAAAAAACGTTTTTTTTTTCATTTCATTTTTCATTTTTATGTTTCGTTTTTAGCAAATCAAATATCAAGAGAATGAATAATTTATCGGTTTACCTCATTTATTTGAATATATATATATATATATATATATATATATATATATATATATCTTCATAAATAATGATTTATACATTTCATTTTAAAATGATTAAAATTGTAAATTATAAATGAATTAACTCAGATGTATTTATGAATACACTTGTAAAAACATAAATGAATAAAACCCGAAAAAAAAGATTATACAATCAGCTAAAATGATATTCATATATAAATAAATAAAACACATTTCTATTCATAAAGGAATATAATTATAATAGTAATTGAATAAGTTACAATATATTTTTTTTGATACGGAACCTAGTACTACAATTACAGTCATAAATGAATAAAACATTTTTGCGCTCCTTCTAAAATCTATTGGTGTCGGTATTTCATTTGGTAAATCTCTCACCTCCCACTATATGCATGTTTATTCATTGGATCTACAAAAATGTTAAAGAAACAATTATGTATAATTAAATAGTCATTCGCACATGAATACACTGATATTCACAAATGAATACAATCTATTCATAAATAAATACAAAATAAAAATAGTGTAAAAATTATCATTTCTTATTCTTTGTTCCTTGCCAAGAATAACCACCAGGATGGGGTTGTGTTTCCAGTGAAATCAAAAGGGGCAACCGCCTCTTGGCTTTTTCCCCTCACCTGCATTGCCATGGCTGCTTTCCTTGCTCTTCTCGAACCAGCCTTATGGAGTATTCATTGATGATTAACTGCAAATGAGACATCTGACATTGTATTCATATAAGATTACAACTAAAACATAAAGGGTATGTGACTTGTAACAACTTACTGAGTGTAAAAGAAAAGTACATCGGGTCCAACAGTTATCAGATTAGCAAGAAGAACAGCTTGTGACACCAATTGCAACTAAATATGTAAACAAGCAGCCAAAAAAGAAACAATCAGAATAACAATATATGATTTCCTTGGTACTTAATTACCATACCAACAATAGTTTGGCTTGATAAGAACTCAAATATGTCGTCACTTGCAAGAACAAAGAATGGATGATTATGAGTGTGTTGAGTTACAGAACCTTGATGGTCAGGTTTAACGGAGATCAGAGCTCTTGAATCGCCGACATTAGCCACGTAAAGCTTATCATTTATAACAAGGACAATAATCGCAGTTGTACCACTCATGGAATCGTCGATGTCTCAATTGTCGTGGAGTTCGTTGTTAGTTGTGGAGAAAGCGGAGTTGTAAGCTTTTACAGGATCTTCCAACATAACAAAGCGGATTGTAAGAAGAATTTGAACAATTGAAACTAAAAACCTTAACAACGAAATTAAAGAGATGGAAAATAGGTATATATTGAAGTTGATAGTACCTGATTCGATGATGTGAGTGTGCAATAACAGGGGGAAGAAGGAATTGTGCTACGATCAGAATGAAGCTAGATACGGAAGGAAGCTACAACTTGTGTGTGTATATGCGATAACAGGGGAAACATCAACTGCAATCAACGATTGGATGCAAAGATCGGAAGCCTCTGAGAAGGGAAGTATCGATCGTGACTTAAGAAGGTGCAGAGGAAAATGATTTTTGGCAGAATCGAAGATGGAGAAGGTGAGGGTGTGCGGCCGTTTTTTTCAAAATAATTAGATTCGGGTTTTCTAGTTAAGTAAAGAGAGGGAGAGAGAGAGAGAGAGAGAGAGAGAGAGAGAGAGAGAGAGATTATAGGAATTTTTATTTAAATAAATTATATGGATTTCCTATTGTACCCTTCTTGCCATTTCAAAGTTACATATTTAGCACATCAGTTTAATAAATGTTCATAAATGGTCCAGTTAATAATAGCCATAGATCTAATTATTTACAAGGTTGTGATCTGTTCTCGCGTTCTCAACCTTTTTGGTGTTCTCGTTTGATCCTACTCATATATATATATATATATATATATATATATATATATATATAGAGAGAGAGAGAGAGAGAGAGAAAGAAAGAGAGAAAGAGAGAGAGAGAGAGAGAGAGAGAGAGACAGAGAGAGAGAGACAGAGGTTCAAGTATTCTAACTAATTATTGTACGGATATCGTATGCTATGAGAATGATAACGAAAATATGTTGTTTGATAATATAAATACGTTTAATCTTATATAACTATTGTCATTAACACACATTCTCACTAATTAAATCGTCTATAATGTTATTATACACTTATTATAATTATTCTTATTTCTGTCATAATGTTGTCAGAATGTTTTATTGGGGCCATATTCTGTCATAATGAAAACGAGTGAAAAACGATGTTTGAAAATAAAAATAAATAATAATTAGCGAGAATGCATGAAAATGATGATATTTTTGTAAGGTTAAACGTATTTGCATTGCTAAACAACTTATTCTATTACTAATTCTCATAGCATACGATATCCGCACAATAATTAGTTAGAATAAAATAATATAAGCCTCTCTCTCTCTCTCTCTCTCTCTCTCTCTATATATATATATATATATATATATATATATATATATATATATATTAGTTGTGAGACACATTGGTTAATTTAAAAAAAAATGTTAAATACAAATATCAAAATATTTGCAAACTTTGAATTTATAAGAAAATAAGAAAAATAATGATTTATTATAATGGAAATGTTTTTTATCATTTAAATTTAAACAAATAATTTCAATAAAGAAAAGAAACTAATGAACTTTAATTTTGAGAATTTTGAAATTAAAAGGTAAATTTATTAATGAAATTAATATATATATTTATTACTCAATTTATTGCAATTATTACATTCAAATATTATGTGAAATTTAATAAAATAGAAAAACTTATAAAATAACATGTGAAAAAAAAAATTCAAAATAACAACAAAATGACAATTATCAAATTGGATGAGAGTGTGACAAGTGACAAAAAAAACTTTTATTTATTAGAAAGGATATATATATAACTTAAAATGATTTGTCTTTTAATGAAAAAATAATTTAGTTTATAACAATCAAAATCAAAAGAAATCAGTGAAGTAACTTTAGAAAACATATCTCATTAATACATTTATTGCTTTTATAAATTTACTTATTTTATTAATAACGATAACTAGAAAATTAAATGTCATTTTAATCTGCTTTTCATTCATTTTATTTGGGAGATGATTTGTATACAATAATTTTTCTTCATACACGACAATTGATGCTTTAAAATTGTATTGTACAAATTTATAATGTATAATTGTTGTATACGTCAAAAAAAATTGTGTACGAATCACTTCCCATTTTATTTGATACAAAAGAAGAAATTCTGATGTTTTTTAATTAAAAAAAATATGTTGTAGACCATTCCAAAATATTCTTAATAAAGCTCTTGTGATTTAAATGTTCATATGTCTAAAAAGGAAATTGAACCGACTAAATTAGGAGTATAACAGTGCTTTATACAACTGAACTTTGTTAAAATATTTGAATTATATATATATATATATATATATATATATATATATATATATATACAATATAATTATATAAATTTGGTAAATCATGGTCCTTATTTTCTTCGGACCCTATACGGCCGCACACCTTACACCTACTTTGAGTTAGGCTTGTCATAACTTTTTTTTACACACGGCTGGTCCATATGAGTTTATTTTGTTTCAATTTTGATCATAATCGATCTAAAACGTCTAATTTAACCTTATGATTTCATTACCCTTTTTTATATTATTAGTTTATTAAAAAACTTTTAATATTTCCCCTTTTATCTTTCATGGTATCTTGTCTTAGTTTATATCCACAAACTTCAAATTTTAATCTATAATTTAGGCTAGACGGAGTGAGTCGCTAGCCAAACTCCTCTCCATCTCGCTGCATTCGTCTCCCCCACTTCCTACAAAGTCGTTAGAGGGCACGCTAGCCAGACAACGAGAAGAAAAGAAATATAAAGAAAAGAGAAAGGTTGTGATTGACTATTTTCAATTTTTTTAAATAAAAATAACACCACATTTAGATGCTACAATTCTCTAATTTTTACAACATTGATGTTAGTTCTCTCTCGTACGTGATTTCAAAAAAATCATATGTAACAACATGCTAAAGATACTATAACTTCTTACAGTTTTAGAGAAAATAAACTTGGCACAATCATGAAGATGATAAAATATGAGGTAATAATAAAAAATTATAATATTGCTGGAACTATTACAAAATAAATAGTTTTATGTAATACAAATTGATTTTCTGAACATTAAAAAATCTTATTAATTTTATTAATTACTAATATTTGCAAAATAAATAGCAAACGAAAATTTTTGTTTGTAATCTTACCTGTCATAAAATAAATTCACAAGTGAAAGTCCATTTTACAAAATTAATGATTATTCTATACATTCTAAAAAGATTGTCATTTTGTAGGGATGGTAGGTTTGTTTAGAAGTAGAGTAGTGTTTGTCTCATATGGAATCTATACCATCGTCTTTTTTTTTTTCTTTTCCCATTGTTTCCTATATTATCCCCCATGATGTATTGCGACCCATAACTTGATAACGGATATACCCATGGAATATGTTATCCCATTTTTGTTTCATTTTCCAATTTGGCTAATAATATTTGTATGCTTTGATTTGTCGCAAGATAATGTTTGAATTTCCAAAAGAAAGAAAGAAAGAAAAATAAATCATTTTAATAGTTGTTTATATAGTATAAATATTAAATAGTTACATTACAAAAAGCCCCTATAATGTTTATGTTAGGTGTATTTTATGCACATATTTTGCATTTTTATTTCATCTCCTTGTATTGCATTTAGGCTTAAAATAATATATTTTACATGCTTTCGGAAAATTTCATGATATTGTTTCACTTGCACATTTCATGATATTTCAGGGACTGTTGGAGATGATTTTTCATTAAGGGGGATGACTAGAAGTTGCAAACAAGATTTCATGATTTTCGGAGCATGGTTGATGAAGTTGTGGAAGATTGAGAAAAGCCTTCAGCAGAGACATCCACGACTGTGGATTTAGAAACTTGAAATTTCCACGGGCTATGGATTTGGACCCATTAAAACAATCTACTTTAAAGCCCCGACCAATTTGAGCATTCCAATTTGTGAGTTTCCACGGACCATGTTTTCTCCGATATAAATTTCTACAGGTTATGGAAACGTGGACATGAGTTTAGCGATAGTTTATGATTTTTCCTATAATTGGTCCACTGACTTCATTATTGAGGAGATCGAGTTTTTTGAGCACCGGGGGCGATTTTGTGGTGCAATTTGAGTTTGATTAACACTTGGGAACTATTGGAATTGATTTTTTGTAAGTTTGATTAGACTTGAGTCTTTGACCATCGGGGGCGATTTTGTGGTCCACTGACTTCCAATTTCGATTTTGCAGTACAGTTGTGGTTATGTTTGTAATCATGTGATTCAATGTTATGTTCAAGATTCTATAGAGCAATTGTAGTTTCATGTTAATCGAATGTTTGATTTGATAATGGTTCATATAGATCACTAGAATTAAGGTTATTTCATTCTTGTTATTCAATCTATGGAATTCGTAATTCTTCTATGAATTGAAATTAAAGTACAAGCATCAAATTGGTTTTGTAATGGGAATAACGTTGATGTAAATTACAATGACTTGTTTTTATGTTTCTGGGCTTATGAGAAATATTGAACATTGTTGGGAACATTTACACTAATCTTAATGCGGTTTTTCAATACAATTCTAAGAGTTTGTTTAGGTTAGATTAGTAAAACTAGGTTTAGTTTAAAGAGCTTATTTTGATCAAACAATTTGTTAGAATGGAAAATGCTATAGTTTTTTAGTGTTTTCAAGTACCGACTTAGATAGATCACGAATTAACTTGATCGTGTGATTCAAATGCATGACACATGAGTTTATGTCACAACTAGAATTTTAGCTAGGAAATTCTATTCTCGTGTAATCATTCAACTATTGTAAAACATACACTCTAAGTAAATATTACTCAGTGCTCATTTAAATGCACCTCCCATGTTCAACAAAGAGTTTGGAACCCTAAGAACCCTGGTTTAAGTCCATTATGGACTAGGATTTCCTTATTGGGCCATAACAACTCCAATTACCCTAATGGACCATAAAACCCATCCTTTTATACTATTTGGGCCGTGAACCATCAATAAGGGCCCAATGGGCTGAAAACTATTTA